ATTAAACTGCTAGATAAATATATTACATAATCGATGTATTATTAATACTTMAATGGATTTATTTTAATGTATTTTAATTTATTATTTAATGTCTTTCTATTTTGATCAAATTATAGGTACCTTAATATTGTAACAATTTACAAATTATCATCTACTTTAAAGCTTAAAACTTAAGCTGATAATTATGATCATAAAAAACTAACCATAGATTTAACAGAAAAACTCAAATAGAACGAATACAAGAATTAACCTATACATAATAAATATTTCTTTTTAAGTTTTTAACATATATTTTACATTTTTAGAATAAATTAATGTAAGATACATATTTTTTCCGTGTCTTTTTGCCTAAATTTGTCGGTGTATCGATGTATCGATGTATCATATTATATCATATGTCTATGTTAACATTATTAACATATAATATGAATAATAAATATGTAATTTTATTTGTTTTCGCTAACCCAGAAAGATAATTCCAAGGCACTTAAATTTTTTTATATATTTGATAATTGATACCAATGTATAAATGTTAGCTAATGCAACTGATATTAATTATACGTTTATTGGAATTTCAAATATTTAATATAAGTCTCATTTATACTGTTATAATATTATATCTATGAAGACAGGTTTTAATCGTTCAATATTATGTGGTTTTAAATCGTTCTGAAAGAAATAAAGACTAACTCAAATATAAATATCTATATGGAATATGAATAAAGAGATTATATATGGTAACCATGGAAACAAACTATATACATAGATCATAATGTTTTCTTATAAAACATAATTTAGTCAATATGTTACAACTTGCTCCTTCCCTTAATCCCGTATAATATTAATATTGTATAAATATTTTTGTTTTACTGCAAAGTTAAAATGTTCTGTAGTATCATAAGAATAAAATAAACCATATTAGTCACGTATATTATAAGAACATCTAAGCATGTTCGTTTTTCAATTCAATATCTTTTTAAAGTAAGGTAAAATATTTTCTTCTATAGACAGTCATCTGACGCCTTTAATTTACCTGTATAGTAGGTATATATGTATATAGAAATATAGAATATACAATATACTATTCATATAAGTACCTATACCTACTTAATTTTCGTTATGCTGAAACACTACGCATGAAAATTACCCGATTTACTTTAAAATTCTTTAAATAATTTATTAAGTTTAAATCAAGTAGATTTTCATATAATATACCATCTAGTGACTTTAATATACTGCAATATACATACGTCATACTACTAATTTATTTGCACGATAATTGGATTTTACTGAGCTTACCGTGAATATAAGCTAATTAAACTACCTATGGACGTCAAAACTAAGTTATATTTTAAATTTTAATATTTTAAAATATGCAAAATTAATTTTTAGAATTCATAATTATTATTATATTTATGTAGGAAGCTCTCTTAAATTGAGCGAACTAGTTTATTCCAATATTAATTATTTAACAGTAGGTACCTACGATTAAATTGTAAATGTATAACATTTAAAAATATACATAACAAAATTGCAGTAAAAATAAATCATATTATCGAAACAATGTTGACGAACTTATCAACAGTAAACATGTTAAATCTATTGGGTATAAAAATTTTTATAAATTAATTTAGTTACTTAGCAACAATATATAAATAACATTCGAAAGTAGTTAATATTGTACACAGTTTTAAAATATATTATAGATGTGAAATGGTTCTTTTAGCATGCATCTTCGATATAATACCTAAACAGGCAATGTGCATTCAGAGCTATCTGTTATATTATAGTCAATTAAATTATAAAATCTAGTCGATAATTTCGATAACTTTTAAATGAATGCAATGGAATTTTAGTATATAGTACAAGTTTTAGCCACATATAAACGGACGGTGAACAGGAAATACATTTTTCTGGCTTCTATCCATACTTCCATGTGTTGTGTGTATCAATCTCAATAATATTGTTCAGTCTAACTATTCTAACTGCTCGTAAATTTAACCAAAATCAACTAGAAATATTTATTAAAATTATATTAATAGATAGATTAATAGATATTTTAAACGAAAATAATGTGACAACTATAGGTGTACCTAGTCAACTAGACACAATGTATAAAAATATTAGTACCTGTGCCATATTGTTAAGAAAAAATGCAAAATTTATATTATATAATATTATCATTTAGGTATAAAATATAAAAGTTCAATTTTTACTTAATTTTACATCTAAAACAATAAAGTACCTACATTGTACACCTCGTTGTACACAGTGTTCACACAAATAGCTAATAGGATGATGTAAATAATTATTAAAATTTAAAATTCGTTTTGTAAAATGCCACTTTAGTGCAAGTATGAAAATTCGAAACGTGCCCATTTAGTTATCATTATTGAGGAGCAAAACTGGTTCTACAAGTCATATGTATTATACATTTATAATAACCAACACGAAAAGAATAATACTCAACAAATATACCTACATATACCAATACATGATTAAAATTTTTCATCAACAGAATATCTTCAATTCACGTCTTATCTATCGACCATATTACATTCATTATTTATGGACACTCAAGTCTCAAATTGTATATACCTAGAAGTATTTTGAGAGACTAGTTATGAGATATTCTCCAAATATTAAATTTAAAAACATTAAAAGATAGGAGAGATTATTCTCCTGCCAAATTTCTTAAAAAAATTATTGGTATAAATTAGATTGATCATTCCTTCTTTTTTAATCTGATTAACTTTAAATAAATTGTTACAATATGCAAGGCAAAGAATTTTTTTAAATCCAAATATTTTTTAAACTTTAATATCCCAACATTTTTTAAACATAATATTCCAATATAAATTGTTATAAAATCATCTGGTAACACATTTTATAACGGTAATATTTATTTATTAGATAGCTAAATAATTGAATGTTTT